CCAATTCTGGTTTATCATGCCATACAAAATGAAAAATTAAGCTCTCCAGTTGGAGCACTACATTATGAGGGGTAAATGGCTCCCAGGTACCATAGGAGAGGAAAATACGCTGGCAAACTATGATAGCATGGAGAGAAAGAGACCGTCTGTAATTCTTGTTGCAGGCTCCATATGCAAGTAGAGGTACAGCCAAATTCGGTGGGCGTCACCTGAGACAGCTGCAGCAGGAGAAAGATTAACCAGCACTAGACAGTCCAGAGGAACACTAACCTCAGTACAAGTCACAGCCAGATCTGGAATAACCTCCTGAAGAGAGAGGATCCATTGACACTGGCACAATTCAGAAGAGAGCGGGAGGGAGGCTCCACGTGTAGGGGAACAGAAAACAAGACATAAGTAGATCAACGATGTGGACCATACCAGAGTAATTGATCATGAGAGGGTAGTGGTCCACACGAAAAAAGTTAGGGACTGGGGAAGATATATCCATATGCATCAGGATTTCCAGAATAGTGTTCGTGTTCAATATGGACTACAAGACCATAAGACAAAAAAAGTTATAACAATTGTGTCATTGCTGCATTCACAGGGGGCAAAACGTGTTTCTTTCTTGTTGTAAAGATAATTACTGATTTATACTTACTGGAAATTTTCAAGTTTTCTTTGAGTTTTATTTCTAAGTTATCCATTTCATTATTCTATAACTGGTTAAATTCTTCATTAAGTTGTAATATAAAGAATTCAATTTATGAACTTTGTTATGTGTAATTGTTTGACCAATAGTAAAATCTAAGAAACTCGCAAATTTTAACTCTGTGCATGTGATGACAGATTTCCATCTTCCTCAGAACATAAGAAAATCACCATACATTAGCCATGTTGTCATAATACCCCGGACCTACACCTAATGGAAAGTGAGATCGCTATTCTAAAGAAAGGTCTAAATTTTGTCTTTATTAAGAAACATGTAAATGAATTCAATTCAAAACACCAATTAAAAAAATTTTTCGCCATTTACATCTTCAAGTGCATTTCTACACTTTAACTACAGACAAATCAAGACAAGAAACACCTATGCCACCTTCTAACACCAGTAAATAATTTTTTTCTCAGCTACAAAAACAAACCAGCACATGGACACCCCCAACTGAGAAATTTCTTTCTCTCGACTACTACGTAGAGAAGTGTCGAAAGGTAAAGATCCATGCACACCCTTCAAAGTAGTTACATGGACATACAATAGACTGTACTGTTATATTTATACAGATTCACCAACTTTATTATATGGTTTTTACTACATTGTTTAATTCTCGTTGTTCTATCTCACATTACATTCTGTTTTCGTGTATTGTTTCATTTTAAAACATTCTTATAATTGTCATTACCCAACAGACTTGTTTCTGGCTTTAAAAAATACATTTGCTCGAAACGTCGCTAATAAAATGAATTACAACCATAGTTTTTTAGGTGATTTATATGTAAAGTCTTATTTCTTATAGTGGTTAAGATACATGCATGGTGTAGTGTTTTTAGTTACTTTTTACTCATTACTGTGAACCTATGTTTAAATTGGATTGGCACTGATGATACTAATTTATTCTTGTGAATAACTCAGAAAATAATCTATTTAAAATACTAAAAACAAATATGAAGCACATTCTATCCAAAAGAATACATTAATAGCATAGAGAGCCATATACTCCATTGAAGAAATACTATAAGTTAAAACATGTGCTCTATTAGGAAATAACAAGCATCATATTATATTGTTGCGTCAGCGAGGTCACGTGCCTAGTATCACGCCACCTCTTTCTAGAAGTATCCTGTTCCTTCAAGAATGCCCTAGCATTTACTAGATATGTGTTAGTCTTGTATATATAAGACGTTCACAACGTGACGGCACAACAGGGCAATGAGTAATTGAACTGGAGTCAGAGAGAATATTGTTAAGCACGTGAGAAGTTCGTTGAGAATTATAGCGTTTGTTACAGAACGACTGTTGAAATTAAGTGTATCGTAAAGTTGTATTCGGAAAGAATAAACCAGTTTTATTTATGAAAGGACTCGTGTCGCTAAAGTTTCGTCGGAACGAATTTACGGATAATTAACTAACGAACGGAGACGTAACAATGTATATATGGAGGAAAATATACAAACATCAGATTCTTACTAGCCAAGGGTATATTACATGTGATGCATTTGTATCATAATTCTTTGACCTAGTTGAATATAGCTGTGATGTATGAAAAACATTTTAAAAAATCCATATAAAGGCAGGGGCGGATTGGGATGGCTAAGCGGCCCGGGAC